ATAGAGTAAAGTGCAAAGAGCTTGCTGTCGAGCGGGGATGTGCGCTATACAATAAATGCTATTTATCATTATTATTATTATTATTATTATTATTACCAGCGTCTGTGGTGTAGTGGCCAAGCACTTCGCTGTCGCACTCATGAGTGGGGGAAAAATTAAATTATTATCAAACATAATTTCTATCTTTCTGCAGGGATGTTGTTTCCCCCACCGCCCGGGTTGGTCCTGACAGGCAAGGTCGGAAACCTACCTCCTATCCTAAATGATCTAAACAGGGTTGATGGAGGTATAAAAACATCTCCTGGTATATAAAAACAACTGTAATATCCACTCGCGGTTGGATTGAGGTAGAGAAGAAAGGTTGTCACCCTTTTCAAGCGAACTGCTAGATCTGGACCGCTGGCGCCCGAATGTAAAACCTGTCCTGAGACGAACGAGCAATTTATAAAATGTCCTGTCATAACGTTTAGACGAGGGCTTAATCTTAAACAAAGACGATGTGTTTATTAGAAGAGTGGATTGTACTGAGTATTGAATGCTAGTTGTTCATTTGAAAGAATCGGCGTATATTTATTTTGATCTATTTTTTTTTTCTTTCAGTTCATCAGTTGCCTCTAAAGGGACTTAAACTAAAGGAAGTTTAGTGTTCATTCATTCAAATTCCGAGTGTCAAACAAGACGGATATTCTCAGGTATTTACAGGTGAGTGGAGTGTATCTCTCAGTCCGCACAGTTGTACACTTGATGGTGTAGTGAAGTAAAGCCTTTGTTGCTGTTTTTGAGGTTGTTTTCGCTGTTATTTTCGTTGTTATTGTTGTTGTTGTTATTGTTGTTGTTGTTATTTGTTGTTGTTGTTGTTATTGTTCGTTGTTGTTTGTTTTGTGTGTTTTTGTGGTAGTTGCTTTTTCTGTTAAATTTTGGAATTTGTATTTATTTATTTATTTATTTGTGTGTGTGTGTGTCTGTCTGTCTGTCTGTCTGTCTGTCTGTCTGTCTGTCTGTCTGTCTGTCTGTCTGTCTGTCTGTCTGTCTGTCTGTCTGTCTTCCCTCCTCTTTCTCTGTCTCTCTCTCTCTCTCTGTGTCTCTCTCTATGTCTCTCTCTCTTCTCTCTCCCCTCTCTCACTCTCTCTCTCTGTCTCTCTGTCTCTCTCTCTCTTTCTTCCCCCCCCCTCTCTCTCTCTCCTTTTTACATCTCAGACACATGAATGTTTAGAACTCTCAGTTTAGTGCTGTGTACAACAACGACACAGACTGTCCCCGTTTAGATTACATCAGGAGTAGACTTGGTGCAGATAGGTTGTCCCCGTGGTTTTATGCACCCCGCTTAATTTAGCCAAATTTGATCATTTTTTGCGTAATTTTTTATTATTTTCCTTTACCATTCTTTTTTAAAATTAACAGAATCGCATAATTTCACTTTTTTTGGTCTCAGTTTGCATAATTTCTGAATATTTCTTTCATAAAACGACGGGGACAGAATAGGGTTCTTCAAAGTCTTCATAACAGTTTCCCTTCACCCCCAATGCCTTTCACCCCTGGCAGGGTATAGGCCACATACAAGCTCCTTCCATTTATGATATAATCTCTCAAGGGCCATCCTTCCAAGCTCGTTCCAAGTGAGCTTCAAGTCTCTCATATCCCTTTCCACCCATCTCCTCCTTGTTTTCCGTGGCATACCCTCTACCCCTGCCTCGTGCTCCCCCTTTCCCTCTCCAGTGGGTAGGAAGAGGGCGTCTCTGGTTGTACTTTTTTTTGGGGGGGGAGGGCGTGGTGGTTAAGTTTTAGTAAGAGCTTAACGGCACTTGCAATACGAATATTATGTCATATAAGTGCCGAAGATGAGAGGTTCAGAGTTCAGAGTAACTTACTAACTTAAGAAAAGAAGGAGAAAAGAAAGGTCTAATAAAGGTCTTCTCTGATGTAAGCTCCCCTGCCCTTTCCTTTCATCTCATTTTCCTTTTTAGGTGCCACAATAATCGGTGGTCTTACTTATCATACTTGCTCGTCTCCGACGCGGAAAGTCCAGGTTCGATTCTCGGTTCGGACACGGATTTTTTTCGCACCCCCCTGCCCACCCAGCAGTAATGGGTACCTGACTTCGAGTTAGGGAAGTAAAGGCAGCGTGGAAAGGGACTGGCCACCCTACCACAATGTTATTATGCCAGAGGCCCAGGAAGTTGTCTCACTAACAAGGCAGTCCTCAATGTCCGGATCGGATGCGGGAATAACTTTTTACTTATTACTATACATATTAGACAACCATTAGCTATGAGAAAGTAAGTAAATACAACATTATTTCAGCTCCAAGTGGACACCAAAAGACTTCATTATAATATCAGAAAGTGTTTTGAACTTCGAACAAGGTAGCAGTAGGCTATATCATCTGCAATTTAAAAAGGGTAAGTCTTTTTTTTTTTAAATATATAATCAAATAATCACTGCTTCCCTTTCTAATTTTGAAACATTGTCGCTGTCAAATTCATCCTTAAACGTAAACCTCATAAATTAAATG